CCTGGAGCCATATTGGCCAGCTGAACCCAGAAAACTCCCGGACTTAATTGACTTCGCTGTGACCAAGAACATCCCAAGAAATTTAGTAAGCGCCAAATCGCTATCGGAGTTATTGTCGGACCACTCGCCTGTTTTAATAACTCTCCTTCAAAGCCCGAAAGTAATCGAGCACCCCTTCAGGCTGACCTCGACTAGAACTAACTGGCTAAAGTACAAAAAGTACGTAAGTTTCCACATCAAACTAACACCACAGTTAAACATAGAGAACGACATCGACTTCTGTGCTGATGCCCTGATGACAGAAGAGACAATCGTGCGTAGCAACCAATACAAAACTAATCTGAAAATCCTTCAACTGGTTCGGGAAAAACGACGTCTACGACGCGCTTGGCAATCCTGCAGATCGACCCATTCAAAGCAACTCTTTAATGAAGCCACCGGCAGACTCACCAAAACACTCAAGCAAGAAGAGGAGCTTGCGCAGCGCCGGTACATCGAGAAACTTGTAACGAACTGATTTTTGCGGTCTGCTCGCTACGAGTATCGTGCGGCTAGCTCAGAAGATTTGTGTTGTTCGTCCCACCAAATTTATATAAACGTGACCGCCCGATTGTCTAGTGAGAACGCACAGAAGGTTAGGATATTTACAAAGGTCTTTAGTCGCCGACTTGTCTCTCGGCCTGGGACTAATGGTGACAGATGGTTGTCTCAACTCCTTTCTTGAAGACTTGTGGTCGTTCCACCGTCGTTCTCCGCTTCCTCGCCTCCGCTGTCGCTGGCTTCGGGGCTATGAGGGTCTAGGGATGCGTCACCGTTCCCAGACTAGGGTGAACAGGCACCGGGCTGCGTGCTCTAGTGAGACTAGGTGCAGCGGGTCTTTGGCTCTCGAGATTCGGTCAGTTGCCTGTCTAGGACTCTGGCGGTGAATTACCGTGCTCTCGACGCATACGCCTCTCGAGACACAATTCCAGCCTGCACAATTCTTGCCTGTCGATTCAGGCGTACGCCGGAATTCGACAAGGCAATTGCTTTCGCACGGCCGCTAGTTCTGGACAACTTCCCTTCCAAGCCCACGGTTCTTTGTCGAAGGACTCTTTTTATTCACTTCTGTCGGACTCGCCAAGCAATACGCCAAGCTCAAATCGCGACAAGAATTAGAGCAAAGCGCCTGGACTTAGCCGCGTGATGCCTTAAGGACCTCAGCTACCTGTTTCTCAGCTCGAAAACTTTAACTCTAAGTCCCGAACGTCTTGATGTAGCGATCTTGCTCCTGTTGACTCGGCGCAGCTCTGCTTCCTCCTAATGTTGACTTGACTTGTTTTATTCACTGATTTTCTGCTTGTCTACTGATCTTGCTGGATTGACTCGTTGTGATCGACTGATCCCGCTTCTTGCGCTCGGCCCGCTTATATAGGGCGGCGTATCCCGTTAATTCTCGGCTTCTCCTTTTTCGGTCTTGCGCACGGCACCATACTAGGGTACAAAGTCCGCCGCCTTCTAACGTTACACGTTCCCTCCAAACTCTCTCCAGCCGTATTCTACAAACACTCTTCTCGTTTCTTCCAAACTCTCTCCAGCTGTATTCTCCAAACCCTCACCAGCTGTTTTGCTCCAAACTCTCACCAGCTGTATTCTCCAAACTCTCATTTATTTGTGAGGAGTTATTTAACTTCGCGTTCTAAGCATCTCCTTTCTTTCGTTGTTTGGTCACACTACTGCTTTCCCGATCGGATTTCCAGCCAATATCGATGATTCGAATTATTGCAGCGTTGCCATCCGGTGGTGGCGATATTTTTTAGTGTGACCCTTCCTGTGCCGTCATCTCCAGGGTTCTGTGCCCATCGATCGACACTATCGTCTAGTGCCAATCGACCGCTTATAAATCAAAGCGCCCCCATCCCTTTATTGAAGTGATGTAGCATAATTCTTTGCACTTGCTGAGTATTTCATGCTTTCTTTTGTTTACTTGTTTTTATTTTCTCCGGCTGTCTTCCTTGTAATCGTTGTATGCCCTTTCCAGGCTCCACCTCTTGCTGAGATGGCGACCTGACAGGAGAAAGAGGAAGCTAAACTCATTGCTTGGCATTGTTATTCTCCCCGGCTTCAGGTAATGGTATCTATACGTTTTAACGTTTATCTTTCCTGCGTTTACTTATAGATTTCCTTTTTTTTTTTTTACTGCTGCGACGATGCATCCCTCCCTCATCTTTCCAGCTACTTCCCCGACTTTAGATTGATAAGTTTGTGTTTATTTGTGTGTTTGTTTTTTTCTTTTAATTTATTGGGCGTATACTCGGATGCCGGCTGCCCCTTCCTCCCTCCGGAACCTCCGTCCGCTTTGGGTGACCAGGTCGAGTCTTCTTCCGCTCCTTCCAAATGGTTCCCTCGACCGCCGTCACATCTCGGTATTTGACTTTCCGGACATTTTCGCGGGCGACCTCTGCCAACCGCCTGGTTCCGGAGCCAAGATGTTGCCGCTCGAATAGACGTCTCGTGTTCCTCCTTCGCATCTTCTTTGAATGTCCCGCCCAAGATGTTTCCTTTCCATATGCTCCTCCGGTGTGTTGCTCCCTTCTAAGCATCCCCTTACTCGGCGTCGTTGTTTGGTCCCATGCGTCCGGCCGGCCTCTTTTCCGGGGATCCTCGGGTTCATTTGGGGGCCTCTTCCTCCCATATCCGTGGCTTTTCCAGCCGATCCGTCGATGATTTGAAATAGTGCCAGCGTTGCCACCTTCGGCTATGAATGCCCGCGTGCTGTCGATGACGGTTTTTACCGTCGTCGACCCTTCGATGTGGGGCCGGCATCTCCGGGTCTTTGGCTCGGGCTGTTCGTGTGCTGCCATCGGGGGGTAGCCCTCGACACTTCTCCTCCGTTCCCCGTGCCAATCGACCGCTTATGAAATCCGGAAGTCGCCCTGGGGCGTCATCGCCCTCTTATTGCCAAGTGAGCGTGGCCATCGGCAATTCTTCTCGCTCACCGGTTCCTCGCCGTATTTCGTGCCTTTACTTTTGTTCGTGTCGTTGGCGGCACCTCTGGCAACCATCTTGGCGGAGATGGTGCCCACTCTTCCTCCTCGTCCTTCTCTTCCGCCACGGGCTCCTCTGCCATATATCGGGGCGTTGGCGGGACCTCCCACATCCGCCGTTCCTCCTCCTCCGCCTCCTTCAATTTGGCGTGCCACCGAATGGCCGCCTCTACGTGGTAGCGGTGCAGTTTGGCCCTCCTTTCGGGCTCCTGCTCCCGCTCCTGCTCCGCCGGGTCTCGGACCTCAAGCCCCGCCTGATTCTGAGCCATGGCCCGGCTGACCGCCTCGATGTGGCCACTTGATGACGTTGCCTCCTCGTCTCTGGTCTCGGGGGTTTGGCCCCCAACAGCCGACGTCCCGGGTGGGATGCGACTATCCCTCGTCGCCTTCCGGAGCCGCCACTCCCTCTGCTCTGCGATGGGGTCATCCACCATCTCGACATCGCTGTCCGAGCTGATAATAGGCTCCGGCGAAGACTCCACGGCGCGAGCCCGTTTCAGGGACCGCCACGGAGTTCGGGTAGGCCGGGCTGCCGACCATCCTTGCCCCGGGTTGGGTCCCTGCTGGGCCGCCATCCTCCTGCGTGCTTCGGCTCGAGTTATCACACTGCTCATGTTGACTGAAGTTTTCCTAATGCCTAATCGTCGCAGGGCTTTCCTCGAATGAAACCTCGGTTTCGTGCCTTCTTCTTTATTTGTTACCGTTATCCTTTGCTCTCTTACGGCACAGTTCTCTTTGCTGTGCCGTCTTCCCCCTTTCTTTGTGAAACTCGTAAGCCTTTTAGCTTGACAGATCCACATGGCACTTTGGATGCTGCGGTTCAACGTGCCTAAACAAATATTGTCCAGGTAGCTTTGGTATATATCTTGGGTATCCTTGGTTTATCCTAGAGGTATCCTTGGGGTTCCCTTAAGGGATCCTCTGGGTATCCTTTGGGGTATCCTTGTGGTGTCCGTGCAGTAACCTTGGACTATACTTGTGTTATCCTTAGGGATCCTTAGTGCATCCTTTGGGTGCCTTTAGGGCATCCTTGTGGTGTCCTTACGGGTATCCTTGGATTATCATTGTGTTATCCTTAGGGGATCCCTAGGGTATCCTTTGGGGTGCCTTTGGGGTATCCTTGTGGTGTCCTTACGTGTATCCTTGGGGTATCCTTGTTTTATTCTTAGGGATCCTTAGTGTATCCTTTGGGTGCCTTTAGGGCGTCCTTGTGGTGTCCTTACGGGTATCCTTGGATTATCATTGTGTTATCCTTAGGGGATCCTTAGGGTATCCTTTGGGGTGCCTTTGGGGTATCCTTGTGGTGCCCTTACGTGTATCCTTGGGGTATCCTTGTGTTTTCCGATTCAGTGTCCGCCTGGCGTAATCACGGATGATTTGGCGAATGCCCAAAGTTGAATCCTGATGCCTCGCGGTTTGGGTGTCTTACATGTTCAACGTGTCCTTGTGCCGTCCCTTTACCTGTCCTTTCCGCCTGTCGTGATCACGGATGATTTGGCGACTGCCCAAAGTTGAATCCTGATGCCTTGCGGTCTAGGTTCCTTGCATGTTGATCGTGTCCTTGTGCTGTACCCGTAAGTGTCCTTTCCGCCTGGCGTGATCATGGATGACTCTGGCGAATGCCCGACGCTGAATCCGATTGCCTTGTGGCCTGGATCCCTTATGAGTGTCCGTTCCGCGTGTTGTAATCATGGATGACTGGCGACTGCCCGACGCTGAATCCTGTTGCCTTGCAGTCTGTATCAATGTGAAATCCTTGTTCTAGTCCTCCGATGTTTCCACCGTCTGCTCTTGTGCCGTTTCTGTTTACTGCTGCTTAAGCTCGCCAATGTGAATCCTCCGCTCTTTCTTCGAATTTGTGTGGCGTATTTTGCAGATTACCGGCGAGACGAAATCTACAACCTGGTAAGGACCATCGTACCTCGGGGCTAGTTTTGCAGCAAACCCTTCGGCGGCTTTGGATAGGTGGTGTTCTTAGGCCCACACTATGCTGCCCACCTCTGGTGTCCACTGCCTCCTCCTCAGATTGTAATGTCTGGCTTGGTCCTGGGATGCTTTTTCCATATTTCGCCTTACTATTTCGAAGATTTCTTTCAACTTGGCGGCCTTCTCATCTGGCGTCTCTGTGTTTCTCCCAGAGCCTAACGTTTCTTTGTCATATAATGCGTTTGGCAGACGGGGTTCCCGGCCTTGTGTGAGAAACGCTGGGGAGTATCCAGTTGATTCAGATATGCTTGAGTTCACTGCTAGCATAATTTCTGGCCAGTTCTCGTCCCAAGTTCTGTGATCCTTTCCTGCGAATTGAGCTATCATCATTTTTACCGTACGGTTAGCCCGTTCTGTTGGGTTTTTCTGCGGTGTGTAGGGCGCCGTGAATTGCTACTTTATTCCCATTTCGTTAAGAAATCTTTTGAAGGATCGACTGGTGAACTGTACTCCGTTGTCGGTTATCACTATCTTTGGAGCCCCGAACCTTGATATTATGCGTTCTCTGAACGCCTTCTGTAGGGTCTCTGCCGTTGCTGTTCGTAGTGGTACAATTTCCGTCCATTTAGAAAACCGACCAACTAACACCAATATCATTTTATTTCCATGCTTTGATCTAGGCAGTGGCCCGACGAAGTCCGCACATACTGTTGCCCATGGTTCCTCTGGTACGTGAGTTAGCATTTTCCCTGCAGCCTGCAGCTGATTGGGCCTGTATTTTAGGCAAACTTCACACTTGCGTACGTGGATCCTGGCATCTCTGTGCATTCCTGGCCAGTAGTATCGGGCTGCCAGGCGTGCTATTGTTCTTCTACCATATGTAACGAACTGATTTTTTTACGTTCTGCTCGCTATGAGTATCGTGCGGCTAGCTCAGAAGATTTGTGTTGTTCGTCCCACCAAATTTATATATACGTGACCGCCCGATTGTCTAGTGAGAACGCACAGAAGGTTAGGATATTTACAAAGGTCTTTATTCGCCGACTTGTCCCTCGGCCTGGGACTAATGGTGACAGATGGTTGTCTCAACTCCTACCTTGAAGACTTGTGGTCGTTCCACCGTCGTTCTCCGCTTCCTCGCTGCTCGCTGCTCCAGAACGCCTCCGCTGTCGCTGGCTTCGGGGCTATGAGGGTCTAGGGATGCGTCACCGTTCCCAGACTAGGGTGAACAGGCACCGGGCTCTCAAAGCGTACGCCATTCGCAGCCACAGCCTCCTGTCCCTGGATCTGTCCCGGCCGGTCGCACCAGACGCCTGCACAGTTTCCATCTGACGGTTCAGGCATACGCCGGAAGGCCGCCAATGCAGTCCCTGTGGCAGGACGCTAGGTTCAAGACGAACGCTTCCGCCCTCGCCTCTTAGCCGTGGACTGGATGTGTTGTAGAATGGCTTGGTTGCCGCTGGGCCTGCGATGACTGCTCGTCGCTCCTCGTGTCCTCGATGCCCTTGCTCTGCTCACGGCGTGGTCTGCGTGCTCGAGTGAGACTAGGTGCAGCGGGTCTTTGGCTCTCGAGATTCGGTCAGTTGCCTGTCTAGGACTCTGGCGGTGAATTACCGTGCTCTCGACGCATACGCCTCTCGAGACACCCGTGGTTCAGACGCGCGTCCTTCGTGGCTAGTCGCACCAGGGCCTGCACAATTCTTGCCTGTTGATTCAGGCGTACGCCGGAATTCGACAAGGCAATTGCTTTCGCACGGCCGCTAGTTCTGGACAACTTCCCTTTCGAGCCCACGGTTCTTTGTCGAAGGACTCTTTCTATTCACTTCCGTCGGACTCGCCGAGCAATACGCCAAGCTCACGTCGCGACAAGAATTAGAACAAAGCGCCTGGACTTAGCCGCGTGATGCCTCAAGGACCTCAGCTACCTGTTTCTCAGCTCGGCGACTTCAACTCTAAGTCCCGAACGTCTTGATGTAGCGATCTTGCTCCTGTTGACTCGGCGCGGCTCTGCTTCCTCCTGATGTTGACTTGACTTGTTTTCCTCACTGATTTACTGCTTGTCTACTGATCTTGCTGGATTGACTCCTTGTGATCGACTGATCCCGCTTCCTGCGCTCGGCCCGCTTTTATAGGCCGGCGTATCCCGTTAATTCTCGGCTTCTCCTTTTTCGGTTTTGCGCACGGCACCATACTCGGTCCAAAGTCCACCGCCTTCTACCGTTACACGTTCTCTCCAAACTCTCTCCAGCCGTACTCTCCAAACTCTCTTCTTGTTTCTCTCCAAACTCTCTTCTTGTTTCTCTCCAAACTCTCACCAGGTGTATTCTCCAAACTCTCACCAGCTGTATTCTCCAAACTCTCACCAGCTGAATTCCTCCAAACTCTCATTTATTTGTGAGGAGTTATTTAACTCCTCACAAAATGTCGCAGACCAGTACAAAGCATCCTTTGTGGAGAGCTCACCCAAATTTAAGCTCTCCGATAGAATCAGTCACTCCGATTAGAAACTCCTCGGGTACTTGGGCCCGCAGTGACGAAGACAGAGCCGAAACATTTGCTTTACACCTACGAAATGTATTTCAGCCGAACGCCGCCACAAGCTCTCTTCAACTACCGCCGTCTAGCTCTGAAATTGAAATTAATCCGATTTTGTTTCAATCACCTGAAATTGCTAATGTCATTAGGAAGCAAATAAAACCGAAAAAGGCTCCAGGGGGCGACCCAAAAATGATAATTGAACTTCCAAACTGCGCAGTGGATGTTATATGCAAGCTATTTAACGGGATCACAAAACTTGGCTACTACCCCAAAAATGGAAAAAGCCTGTGGTTATAATGATACCGAAGCCTGGGAAAGACCACGCAATTCCCTCATCGTACAGACCAATAAGCTTACTATCGTGCCTGTCCAAATTACTAGAAAAATGCCTGCTCACGTGCATTACACCATATTTAAGAGAACAAAACTTAATCCCGGCACATCAATTCGGGTTTCGTGAAAGCCACGGAACCATAGATCAAGTCAACCGGATAACTTCAGAAATTCGTACAGCCTTCGAACATCGGGGATATTGTAGTGCGATATTCCTCAGGCATTCGACCGAGTGTGGCTTGAAGGCCTTAAGCATAAAATCATAACATAAACACTCATAAGTTACTTAAGTCGTACCTCTACCACAGAGTCTTTGAGGAGAGATGCAATACAACGATATCCAACGAGTATAACACTGAAGCCGGAGTCCCCCAAGGTAGCGCACTGGGCCCTACCCTGTTTGTCTTATACACAGCAGACATCCCTACGAACGAGAGGCTACTACGTCCACATTTGCTGACGACACCGCAATCCTGAGCCGCTCGAAATGCCCAACTAGAGCAACAGCTCAACTGGCTGATCATTTAATGGTAGTTGAGAAGTGGCTATCAGACTGACGAATCAAAATTAATGAACAAAAGTGTAAGCATATAGCATTTACCCTTAATAGACAATCGTGCCCCCCGCTTACTTTGAATAGTAAGAAGATTCTCCAAGTCAGCGATGTAACATATCTCGGCGTCCACCTCGACAGACGCCTAACCTGGCGGAGGCACATTGAATGCAAGAAAGTACATCTCAGACTTAAAGCTAGCAGCCTACACTGGATTATATATTCTCGATCACCCCAGTGTCTGGACTTTAAAGTTCTTCTCTACAACTCCACCCTCAAGCCCATTTGGACCTACGGTTCCAAGCTCTGGGGGAACGCAAGCAACAGCAACGTTGACATCATACAGCGCTCACAATCAAAAATCCTGCGAACAATCACTGGGGCACCATGGTATGTTCGGAACGAAAACATCCACAGGCATCTGGGCATACCACCGGTCAGAGATGAAAAAAAATATATTTATTTTTTAATTTGCGAACAATTTTTGAATTTCTCACTTTTTGTTCAATTTTCTTGGTTTAACTAGAAACTATACTATTGAAAATAAAACATTTTTTTATTTTTTTTGGTTTCAGATGAAAATGGCGACCTCCATCTTTCCCGCCGAACGACACATGCACACTCGCGACGCCTCGGCGAAATGCTTTTACCAGGGATAATTTGACTCATATTTTAATGAAAAAATTTGAGAAGAGTGTTCAAATAAATAACAATAAAACCTGAAGGTTTCAATCGAATACTTCTTTCCTTTACAAAAAAGACTTCGAAAAATCTATTTTTTTTAAGCTTTTAATGCTGGCACCACCTTAATGAAACTACTTAAGCAAGAACGTAATGTTGCTAAAGTAATATATTTTTTTTTTTTTTGTTTTGCAGGGTCCCACGGCCCACTTACCCGCCCAACCGACCGAGGGGCGCAGCCGTGTATCGTACGGCACGATTCGCGATAAGATAGACGCGAGATAGGAAAATAAAGGTAAAGGTCCGGGGAAAAAAGTAATAGTTAGATCAATCTTGTGCCAATGAAGCAAGTATTAATCGTTTTAGGAGCGGCAGAGAGTCAAGATTAGATATTACAGGAAAAAGTCTATTATAGTCAGAACATAATACTCTGATAGGCTCATGCAAGGCATAGTTAGATCTACAATGATTTAAAATTAGGGGAATATAATTTCTAGTTAATCTACTTGGCACAGAAAAGTTTAGCCGACTTAACAAGTCGGGGCAGTCAATATCACCATGTATAAGGTTATAAATGAAGACAGTACCAAGCATCGTTCTACGGTTGGCTAGGGATGGTAAATTAATCAAAAGAAGTCTACTAGAATAAGAAGGTAAGATAAGATTTGCATCCCAGTTTAGGCGCCGTAAAGCAAAAAGAAGAAAGTTTTTTTGTACAGATTCAATACGACCAATATGTATTCCGTATTGTGGACTCCAGACGGGAGACCCATACTCCAGAATCGGACGGACTAGCGAAATAAATAAAGTTTTAGTCAAATAAGGATCATCGAATTCTTTTGACCACCTTTTAATAAATCCAAGCAGTCCTCTTTATTGACCATAGACGAAATGTGATTAGAAAATTTTAGTTTAGGGTCCAAGAGAACGCCAAGATCGTTTACAAGAGTTATTCTATCCAAAGAGCTGCCACTTAACGAGTAAGTCGCGTATATCGGATTGGCCCGATAAAAAGTCATCAGCTTGCACTTGGAACCGTTTAAATTTGGTAAATTATCTCGGCACCAGTTTTGAAAATTATCTAGATGGGATTGCAAGTCTAAATGGCAGGAAATGTCCTTATACTGCAGACACAACTTAACATCATCAGCGTACATAAGTACGCGAGAATGACTTATAATTGAGGGAAGATCGTTAATAAATAATGTAAAAAGTAACGGACCCAGATGGCTCCCTTGTGGGACACCGGAGGAAACAATGAGAGTTTCAGAAATTGAATTTTTAA